TTCACGATCAGCTGTTCACTACTGTGCAAAATTATGCACATTATTGGGGCTAATTCATGGGCAGGAGACTGGTTTATTCGAAATTACACGCGTGAAAATATTTCTGATGCATAATCGAGATTTTGGCTGACACTGGCCCTAATGCTGTTACTGGCTGATGACTACTGCTAGTGCTACTGAAAGTCAAACAATCAGTATGGTATACAAGGTACGGTACGGTATGGTAGTGCGAGATAGTCAAGATGTGTTTAATATTGACACTTCTCTTCGCCTCTTTTCCAGTCGTCGGTTTTTCCTATCATTAGATTTTTGGTGGTTGCTGCTCTATTATACTTTACCATCTTAGTTCGTAGTTGTCTGGCAGTTCGACCAACCTGTGATAGACGAAAATGCCAGTAATTTATTACATCTGTCTTTTGTCTTCATCAAGCGAGATCCTAATTTCTCGCTTGATTTGAAGATGGCCTTGATGTTTACTTTTTTCGGTACACGTCTAATCGACTTTGAAACGACTAGAACACAGGCAATGCCGACGGTCCATGTCGGGGTGAGTTGGTTGAGGGTGAGTTGATTGACCAGCGATGCTCCGGTTCCCCATTGCTTTGCCGACGAACTGTTGCGAATGCGCATTTGTCTGAAGAACTTCTTTCACATGGTGGATTTCATGTTGAAGTTCTGATGGGCTTGACGTTAATCAAATAAGTTCCTAGTCACATCTGCTTTGATACATTTTTGATGCCTAGAGCTGAACTGCAGGTAGTTTTCTACTTGCGTGAACTTGCCACGGGCAGTTTTTAGTGATCCATCGTTTTCTCTATATACATTGAAGTTTAACATCGAGGTTTAACTGTGGATTTTTACCATGCACTGATTCGCTGGGTTTACGGTATTTGATATTCAGGTACTGGAAAACGCTTGAAGATCGTTTTTTACGATAACAAATGTCAAAGTATCTCTACCATATTCTTGGTGCCACGTGAAAGAAGTTGCTCAGAGCCTCATTCTCTAATTTCTCCATGAACATGCTAGCAACGATTGAAGGGAGCGGAGAACCCACGGGTGTTCCTTCTAGCTGTATGTATTGTTCTGCCTCAAAAGTGAACCCGGCGTTTTCCATACAAATTATTTTGCCACCTAGTATCTGTTGCTTATTCATCTTCATGGGACTGCCCCGGTCGGCATCTGTAGTGAGCATTTCTTCCACGCATGGTGCTACTTCTATAGTAGGTATGTTGATGATGAGTGAAATTACATCGAAGCTGATCATGAGTTCGTCGTGGTCAATCGTTCTGTCGTTTAGCTTCGTCTTGAAGTGTAGTGAGTCATTTATGAAAGTGTCTGATCTTTCAAAAGGATTGGATAGGACTCTAGCGTAAGATAGGAGTTTTCAAAGTTGCACGTCGCTTCCGATACAGTCCACAATTGCTCGCAAAGGAATATCTTATCTGTGAATCTTTGGCAACCCATAGAAGCGCGGCGCCTGGTCTGACTTCGTGATGGTACCACGGATTGTCTAACTTCTTCCGTAAAGGGTACAGGGGGTCAGATTTTCATAGCCTTAATTCAGACAGGATGAAATGTCAAGAACATAAACGAAGGAGTTCATACATCTTCTTCATGACGTAACTTGTGTAAATTCCAAACAAAGAGCAAAAGTCAATTGTAAATACATCTTGACCATCTCATTCGTATATCTTACTGGTTGTTTGCAGTGAGAAGTGCTAATAAGATTAGTTGAAACCTTTGTCCCGCACCACAAGCGTTTATACCGCATGTAATTTGGAATAAAACAATGCCTTACTTATGAGTCAATCAGCGACTTCAAGTATCTATACACATATTATTAGCGCTAAGTATTTGGTAATTACGATTGACAAAAAAGTTTTATTCATTTATATGTGGAAGTTGGAATATTCATTTCAAGAAAGATGGCGTTCGATTTCAAAGCTGTGAATTTGCTGATGCAAATTTTATGGCAAACAGTAGAGTTTATGAGCAACAGCAATATCTGCAATTGAGCTTATGCTGCGAATTTGATTCATAAGGCATTTGGTTCCCGCGCTGTTGATACCATTGGGGCATAAATGATATAGCCGGCAAAAGCTACATTATAATTACACAAGTGTCGAAATATATCAATGACAATAAAAAGTTTGAACTGAGACATATCTGGGTCACTCATTGTTCATATCGTTTTGTAATGATGGCCCGGTTTTTACTAATCAAGACGAAACAGGAACATTTACAAATGAATTCTTTCAGCAACGTACCAGTTTTTCAGTGGTCTCCGTTGCCTGATGGAACCTCCTCCGAAATGACGCGTTAAGCAACATCATCAGGGCTGTCAGATTCCGGATGCCTAATGCGAATAAATGTTTCTTCTTGGATGTTCCACTTTTGGTAGCTCTTGCCGATGCACATATTTGCGCGGTCGTCACAGTCGACCCTGCAGATGGCTTTCAGTGCTTCTTCCGGACTGTTCAAGACTGTTTCGTGAAGTGAAGCATTTACGATGTTCGACCGGTTCTTTAGTCGACTGCGAACCCCATGCTGTAGAGACATGCTTTGATCGACTCAGATACCTAACATGTGTATGGTAGAAGTATCGTCTGATTGCTTTCGAGCTGCTTCTCTTAGTTGGAGCTGCGGTGGAAAAATTCCCTGCCCAATGTTTTCCTCAAACATCGGTTCTTCAGGAATACTTGGTGCTCGCCAATCAAGAACTTGAACTTGATTCAGTTTTAACTGTTCAGCTAAACAACAAAAATGTGATAATAAATATGAATGTTTTACAATGTACTGATTATTGTTTATTTTGAATAATTAAGCATAGTTGAGATAAAGAAAGGTAGAGTCTGAAAAACCAACAAAATGGTGGTGGCAGTCAGTAAAATAAACAGTTCTGGACTAGTTAGGTCCCATAAATATCTCGGCGTGCTAAAAGTTGGTAATATATCATATGAAAAAATGAATGAGTCTTTCATGGCGGAACACCTTAAGAGAATCTGCCGAAGAACAAAATCGTGGCAATCGGCATAGGTGCTCTACCATCACCTTTTTTACCGAAGGCGTCGTCAAGTAGACGCAGGAATTAAGGATGGAAATTAATCGTTAGACAAGAAGGATCTTGAAAATTTTTGAGACGGTGCAGCCATCAACAGATGAGTGCTGAGTGCATAGCCCGCGTGACGAACGAAGAAGAGTGATTCGTACTATTAAAAATATGCCGGAATAAGGAACGACATCCGCATGTCCGGCTACTACAGTGTGAAGAAGAGGGTGCCAACGGCTGTAATGGTTGACGGCCTGTGCAAACCAGAACAACAGACACATGCAAATGAGGAAGACCACGAAGAAAACGTATCGGCCACCGAATGCAAAGGTTGGCAGAATAACTGGCTTAATGATCAGCATCTTCGCCAACTCGGTGAACACATAGATGTTCACAAGATATTCCACCGATTGTTGAGAAGCTGCGGCTCTTTTAATAGCCACGTAGGCTACAGTACTACGCACGAACCTGCACAAAACCAAAAGCCATGCACACCCGGCCTGAAACTACCCACAGAATGTGCCGAGCAAAGGGTGAGACCGTAATCAATATATTTTCAGGCTGCCAGACGGTCATGAATGATGAATTCAACGAAAGAAACAACGTTCTTGTGTGGATAGTTCACTGGCATTTGTACATGTCTCACAGCAATGCAAGAAACATCCGCTGTGAGTAATGGAAGATACGGATCAAGTGAAAATACTCTAGGACTTACCAGTACGAAATGAAAAAGAGACATCGATATAGTATGCCCGTTTGACCATGGCGTTACCCTTTAGGAACATAAGATGATATACAAATGTCAAAAGCTGCAGAAAGAATTGGAGGAAATCTGGATGGTATGGGTGGAAATAATAATCCTTATGGTAATCAATACTCTCGGAACAATTGAAAAGGATTGTCGGCGCATATTAAACTAATTCTCTGTAGCTCTGTAGCTCCTGATCGAAGGTTCGAAAGATTAATCAGATTTTTACACTCTTCATGTTATGTTTCATGGGTGGGAACAAATAAAAATTATGTGTAATGAAATGTTTCTAATGTCTTCATTACCACACCGCATTAGTCTGCTTTAGGGTCACACGGTTTTGTTTTTCTGTACTCTTTGGCTCATTACCGTACACTGTTGTCATTGATCTGTGAGAACGGTGATACGTCACCACTGAAAATGGCTTTTACTTAAAGATGTGCAGACACAAACATGTTGGAAACACGCATTTCACGATCTGTGTGATTTATAGAACCAAACAAGCATTTCGAATGTAAGCGTTGCCAACGAAATGCCCAGCATTACACACAGAGAAATCAGCGGCCCTTTAATGATGTTCAATGAAACGGCACTCCTGCGTTCTTGACTGTCAGCCAAAGTCTTTTCCCAAGTAAAGGCTTCGCGACCTCCGTTAGTAAATCGATATCTGAGGTTTTCCTTAAAGTCTTCCATAAAGATTATGGCCTGATTGATCGCGTTACCGAGGGAAAAATTTTTCTGCCAGAAAAAGCATCGGTATTTCAGCTCGACTTGGTCGTCGACGATCAGCAGCAATTTGTCGTGGTCTGGAAAGCCCTGCATGTATTGCAGAAGCTTCACCCGGTCGGCGACAAATACCAGATCGTCGTGTTCTAGAAGCTTCGAAAGCCACATGTGCGGAGTTGGTGGCGTTTCGAAGTTGAACACAAGCGAACTGTTCGCCGCCTCTGCCACCGTCC